AGAAGGCTGAAGCGTGCGATTGACGGTTGCGTCTAATCCAGGCGACAGGGCGCCTTTCGGATAATGCGCTCTCGATCGCGCGAACACGGGTGTCCTTCTTTCTCGCAAACGCTTCCCGCGGCGTGTATGTGATCACGTTTCATGTTCCTTCTATGGTAGAGCGTAAACTGTTAGCTCGCTGCGGACAACGAAATTGCAGTACGCCGTAACGTTTTAATCGCGGTGCGCTCCGGTCCCCTCATTCGCCAAAAAAAAATCGCGATCCACTTCGCCAGCAAATGAGTTTTGCTTTTTAAGGAAAATTACGTGTGTTTCGCAGGATCTTTTGATTCTACATTTCTTTCTATATTTATACTATTTCTATTGTTTTATTACTACTCTTACTACTACAGTATACTACTATGCTATAATATATTATTTGTACCATTACAATTAGATTGTATACTGTTATTACTAGATGTTATTTCTTTCTATAGATCTCTTTTAATTCGAAATAGTCGAAAGATTGGGAAATTTCGATTATCTCATCGAAGTAATTAATTTGAAGAAATTCGATTCATTCGGATTTAAAAGTAGAATTTTTGAATATAAATGTTGAAAAAATGAATCATCCATGATGGGTGACTCATTGCTTGAATTAGAATAAATGTTCTGATATATGTTTTATATATGACAGATACGTATTTAATTAGATGAAAATTCCGATTACTCATTATTTGTCATTGCCAAAGATTAGATTTATTATCAATGCATTTAATACTAAATACCTAAAGACTAGTTTAGGATTATCAGCATTAGAGATATCAAATATTGTCATTTTTGGCAGTTTTTATTTTCTTAAATTAATATTTTATTTTAGTACCAAGATAGAATATATTCTAAATCTTTTTTACTTGAATATTTCATCAGAATAAAAACAGTAATTTTAGAGAAAAAGTTAAAGAAAATTTTATTTTTAATACAAGAAAAAAAGATATTAATTTCAAAAAATAATTGTTCGATTTTTTTTGCGTTAATATTAAAATTTCGAAAAATTTCGGAATTCTTAACCGAAAGCGTAGACGCGGATGTAGAACGAGTTACGGGAAACTTGAATCATCGGCCGCATGTGAATCACGAGATTACGTCTCTCCGAGATCGCGGAATTATCTTCGTCTCGCATACAGAAAAAAAAACGTTCTTCTTCCTGGAGGAAAAAACGGGTCTCCACGATGCCGGTCTCCACGATGACTGGCATGATGACAGATTATCAATCGGAAGGAACTTGTCGACCGTTAATTAATCGGTTAATTGGATTGGATTCGCTTATATCTAGCAAAGCTTCGAGTGCGCGAGCGTTATTTACATAGACACGCATTGATTCGAAAATAGCGAATCGCGTACACTAAATGAATTGCGGCGTCGACAATGCATAGCCATGTCGGCGATTTTAATTATGATGTCAAGGAAGACTCGCAAATTTCTCGATCGTGTAACGATCAATATCGCATTTGACACTGTTCAATATAATTATACTCGTATAATACGTTCAGTAATCACTGAATTTATAATCGCCGAATTTGTATAATTAACATTCGATAGCCCATACATTATGTATATATATATATATATATATATATATATATATATATATATATATATATATATAT